ATGTTAATTAATTAGGCTAGGCTTTATGTAATAAATATAAAAACTAAATTTTTTACCGCAGTATGTTTCTTCTGTGTGCAGTTGTGTTCATTTGTTTCGATTTCTCCATGAGATTGTCTCACATGAGTCTCAACTGCCACGACCTTTTTACTATTGATTATCCATTATGAATTGCCGTTTACACCATGTGTAATAAAATCAGAATCATTCTCGCCGAAATTTTGGTGCTTCTCTAATTCGATGTTTTAATTAGATTAGATTAGTTGTCCAGTCGGGCAAGTAAAATTCTCTTTCACTTGCCCCTTCAAAAAATGCACACAGATCATCAAAAGCATTCTCTCGTGCACCCCTGCTGGTCAGTCTGTGCACCGCTAGGGGTGCGCGCACCCCAGTTTGGGAACCGCTGTTCTATGGCATCACTACAAAAACACACTTTTGGAACAGTGTTCAGTTGAATTCTATTGTATCAGTTGAAGCCAGTGTATCAGTTGAATTCTATATGTTATATTAGGTTGCTTGACTGTCAGGAAAAATAAAAATTGCAAAAATTGCATCTTTTTTAAGGCACACAAACAGTCTGTTACTAGGCCAGTACGCTAAAAGAAACTTTTTATCTTAGGTATAAGAATCATCGAGGAGTGTTTGTCAACTCTCGTTCTCAGGACCCACCTCCCACAATGTTTTAGATCAGGGTGCCCAGTCACCCTATTCAACACACTAAGAAATTGATGAGTTGAATTAGGTGTTTTAATTAGTGAGACATCGAAAGCAATTTGGTAGGTTCATCCCCAAAACTAGAGTTAATAAACACTGCCTTATGGAGCTACTATGAACCCTTTAGGAGCAAGTAAAGTACAAAGATGTGGTTTCGAGGGCACTGCCGCAGGGTACTACCCCTAAAGGTGCGATTTCTGCATATTTCTTAGAGTGTTGGAAACTGTTAAGCAGCCAACAATTAAATTAATATTGTGATTTTCTTTATTTATTTTTTTTATTATTTATTTATTTATTTTGGAGGAGTATACATCCAAAGTTCTGGCATGAAACTCTAGATGGTGCAGTCCGATAGGTCTAACTCAATATGATATAATGACATCATTATCACATGGCACAGCTGATTGGTTCTCTCTTGTATCGGTAGCCAATGAGCTCGCTGCTCAACATTCATATACTTGGCTAGTGCTTGTGGTAGTAGTTGCAGCACATTTCAGAAACCCTCCACCTTCCCCAGCTCCACCTGTATAGATCTGCTACAGCGTGACTACGGTAGCTGTTTTTTATCATATAAAAGAGCAAAATAATTTAGCTCTTTTTATAAACGCATTAAGCCACTCAAGTTTGTGCTACATACTGATTTTGCTACAGTGAAGAGGTTGCATATTGCTTTCATAATCATTTGGATTTTGAGGATGTTTCTCTCTGCAGAGTGTTTTCATTAGTTATCTGGTAGCGAGGAATCATCTGTATTTAAACTATTTTATCATAAGATGTGATTGTGTGGGAGGTGTGAAATGTGATCATGCTGTTGCAGGTCACATCTTCATACATGGAGTCTGTTTTCCAGTTTGACAAAGGCAACCACCTTTATTCTTATGACAGGTTTCTTTCTATGAGAGACATTATTGTCCTCTCCTTCATTTTATTCCCAAACTGAATGACTTGCTCTCGCGTGGTTATACAGATATGCTGTGTGAAGTTGTCGCTCCAGGTCTGACATCTGCTTTTGTGCTCCTTGGAGGTTTAAAACAACATGAGTAAATCATGAATGAATTTTCACTGTCAGTGGGTAATTTATTGTAATTATTAAAGGGGTCATATGATGCAATTAAAATTTTTCCTTTCTCTTTGGAGTGTTACAAGCTCTTGGTGCATAAAGAAGATCTGTAAAGTTGCAAAGACTAAAGTCTCAAATCCAAAGAGATATTCTTTATAAAAGTTAAGAGTCAACCATGCCTACCTAAAACGGCTCGTTCTAACACGCCCCCACATGTCTACGTCACGATGTGGGAAGATTTGCATAACGCCGCCCAAATGTTCACGCAAAGAAAGAAGGCGTAACTTTTATTCTCGCTGTAGTATTGTTGCTGCCGCCATGTCGTGAAGATGCTGTGTGTTTCATTATGAAATCGAAACTACTTTGTTTGGCCTTCCAAAAGAGTGTTTGACTGGAAATCGCGTTTGGTCTCGTACTGTATCGCGTACCTTGTCAGTGTCGTGCGCTTTGCTTGGCCATTTGTTGTACACATAAGTATCACTTCTGAATCATTCTCTTTCCCACTACTTGTTCCCCTTCTGTTTTCAGTTTTTATAACCAATTCTTACTATGTGTTTCCAGATGCCAACTATCACTACCACTCGCAACCCATACATCACACACTGTAGGCAGAATTGGTTAT